TGAAACAAGTTGCACTGTACTTACGGAGTCACTAATTTTAATAGTTTTAAATATTAAATTTATTACATACAACAATGTCCGTTTAAATAGTTGGATACAAACAATATAAATGTATATAATACACTATGAGTATTTTACATAATTAGTAAATTTTAATTCTCGTTGGTTAAATAGGTCTTGTTTATATTTAGTGTAGAAGTGGGTACCTTCAACTTCGGTCAATTTACTAATTATATATTATTTTTGATATTTTATTAATTCTATTTCAAATATTGTTGTTATAAATAATTATAAAATAACTAGATTTCATGGTCATTTTTCCATAGAAGGGCTTATATGTGTAAACAGCAGGTACAGATTAGAATAAAATGAAATTGATATTAAAAATTGTGTTATACGTGGACTTTACAAAATTTCACCTTACAAACAACCAGAATTACAAAATTCTATTAAAAAAGTTTCAAAACTTCTCTTGAATTACTCAAATTAAACATTATTTCAATTAGGTGTTTTTATTTGTTTCGATAAACAACACGATTTCTTTTATTATTTTCCTTCTGTAATTAATTTCGACCTCTGCGATTGATAGCTGATTTTTTGATTTGAATTTGGATTTGAACCTGGAAATAGTCGATTCAATCGATACGAATACTCCGGGTGCCATCCCGTTGGACTTGAATTGTTTTTTTTTTTCATTCCTTGGGCCTTAAAGCCAATTCCTGCATTCTGAATTGTGGGACTCATTGATCTAGAGTTTGTACAATACAGTGACTATACATCCACCAAATTGATACCTCGTCGTAGGCCTATCATGATCACGTTTGTATGTGTTTGTGTGTATGTGTGTTTTACATGATCCTTGAATGAGTACATAGTGCTTGCGTTAAAAAATGGTACTGTTAATAATAAAATTCTTCATGTACTTTTTATACGCCACTTATAAAACACATTTTATCTTATAACGCGCACATCCCTATTTTTTCTTCTCGTGGGTCTTGGAGGGGCATACATGCGGGAGGAGCGGTAGAGACGCCGCCGGCCGACCACGAAGCTTTGAGAAAGGAGTCAAACGTCAGTCCTACCATCGAACTATTATTATACCTTACATCGATATCATTAAAAACTATCTTATACCTTTGAACGAGCAATTCTTGTATATATATATATATATATAATCTGAATCTCGGAAACGGCTCTAACGATTTTCATAAAATTTAGTATACAGAGGATTTCGGGGGCGATAAATCGATCTAGCTACGATTTATTTTCGGAAAATGTTGTTTTATTCGTGTTTTTAATAATCAACTTTATTGGCGATACATCTATTGGCGAATAATAATACTATTTTTACTGCTCAGACACAACAAGATGGCGTTATAAAAAAAAGCCGAGCAAAGCTCGGTGATCATCCAGTACACCTTAAACTGGGATAGTTTTAATTCGTTATAATCTTCAATTTCTTATGCCGAATTTCTACATTATGTACCCACAAATAGAGAAAAATATATTTTAGAATGCCTCGAACTAATCGCAATGTAAAATGCTAATTTAATGAAAAGAATGCAATACAAACAATTTATAGTTTGTACTTCTAACGTCGGAGCACATAATCTTATCGCACATCCAGGCGTAACCGCGAACTTCACAGTTGATTAAAGTTTCTTCGATTACGATATTACAGAAATTGATTCATAGCAATGAAAGTTGCAAATGGCGATTTTCTCTTATCAGCTCTCTATATTAAATTTAATACACTGCTACGACTTAAAAGTATTTAAATAATTTTGGATGCTTAAAGATAGATGCTTTTACACAGCATAACATAATATTCAGTAGGCAGGTTCTAAATGGGAAGGTCATCATTAAGGCACTTTGTGGTAGGCAGCGGCTTGGCACTACAGTGTGCTTAGAGCGAGTTCCTAACCAGCAGTAAACGTAGGCAAACTTTCCGACTCCATACAATTTGAGTTAACTCTTATGCCATCGAGAACGTTAAAAGCTCGCACTAAGCACACCGACATCAAGCTGCGACGGTTCTCACTTATCAGGTGAGCGGTATGCTTATTTACCTACAATGGCAATAAAAATATTACTAGAAACATCAGATAGAGCATCAAACGTGATAAATGAACGTGATCCCTAAGAAGCGCATGATAATACAAAAAATATTTTTTCATTTCAGTGCGTTCTTGTCGGTTCCTAAAAAATATCACATATCGAGCTTCGATAGAACTTTGAGCAGATGGGAGTATAATAAGGACGCACCCCGTTATGTATTATAGGTAAAAAAACAGCCCCCTTTTAAAATTAAAATGCACTAATGGGTTTTTCAAACACCCTAATGATTCTAAATTATTATAGTATTTAATATATTTTGTCGGACACGAAACTTTCGGAATTTCATTTTAAATTCGGATTTGATGGATATAAAAACGTATCATAATATAAATAGTATTATCGCATAATTGGGCTTTGTGGAGATAACCACGAAGGGAAAATCTTCCACCCAGCGGGTGATATTGCTCGGTAGACCGACTGTCCGAATGTTTTTTTTTTTTTATGATTGAAAGATTACTGGTGGTCCGAAGGCCTTTCCAGTTTCACCAGGACAGGTGGACGAGCAAAGGCTCAGCCAGGTGGGGTGGGATGGGCTAACAACTGCCCGAGCGCCTCCGGAGGAGACCTAACAACTCAAGAGCAATTGCTCCGCGAATGAATCTACTACTGGATCGGAATCGTGACCCACTGAGAAGATCCGTCGAGAAACTCAGCGAGCTGATGCATGGGTTAGGTTGCACGTCGAACTCTTTGTCGAGTTTGTAGTCGTCGTGGCCTAACGGATAAGACATCCGGTGCATTCGTGTTGAAACGATGCACCGGTGTTCGAATCCCGCAGGCGGATACCAATTTTTCTAATGAAATACGTACTCAACAAATGTTCACGATTGACTTCCACGGTGAAGGAATAACATCGTGTAATAAAAATCAAACCCGCAAAATTATAATTTGCGTAATTACTGGTGATAGGACCTCTTGTGAGTCCGCGCGGGTGGGTACCACCACCCTGCCTATTTCTGCCGTGAAGCAGTGATGCGTTTCGGTTTGAAGGGTGGGGCGGCCGTTGTAGCTATGCTTGAGACCTTAGAACTTGTATCTCAAGGTGGGTGGCGCATTTACGTTGTGGATGTCTATGGGCTCCAGTAACCACTTAACACCAGGTGGGCTGTGAGCTCGTCCACCCATCTAGGCAATTAAAAAAAAAAAGAGTACGGTTACCGGGGCCTCTAAGCCTGCTCCTAGTGTTAGAGCTGAAGGCGTCTAATGCAAAGGTTATTGGATCTGATCGATCCGTAAGGACGTGTCTAGGGCGTCGACGGTGACTGGCTCCTGCATGATCAGGATTCGGGGAGTAGTCAGCGGCGGCAACGATAAGGCGATTATCATGACGCATGGGCTTATCGAAGTACCGTTCCGACGCTGACTTCATGTATTTCCGAATTGATTCGAGGCCCAGGTCGTCGTGTAGGTCAACGTTCCTCACGAACCACGGAGCCCCGACAGCTAACCTGCAAAAGCGGGATTGTTGAGGTTGGAGGGTGTCTATGTGTGTGCGGGCCGCGTGAGCGAACACCACACTCGCGTAAGTCATGACGGGCCTTATGCAAGTTTTGTAAAGTGTCACCTTGTTCCGAAGGGACATTTTACTTCGCTTACAGATCATGAGATAGAGTCTGCCGAGAATAAATGCGGCACGATCGCGGACTGTTTTTATATGCGGGAGTCCGAATGTTGTTGTTCGGAACTTGTATATTATGTGCAAGCTTATTTTGAAAATGTCGTAAGCCAGATTTAGGCATCTGTCAAATATCTTGTCTTTTTTGATAGCTAGCGCCACAGACGTAGGTAGTTACGAAACCGGTGAAGGTCAAGGGGCGACCTGAGGGGGTAGAGGCCGCGCGGCGTGCTAACAGCACTCTAGCGCGCTGCCGAGGAGTAACAAAACGACCGATCGACGGTTTATCGCGTCCCGACCCGGCAGGCTGGTTCTGATCCAGCGGGGTATTCCGGGACACCAGCGGCACCGTCTGGGCGGTCTGACGGGCTGACGTTTCAGAGCCTTCGATTCGCCTCGAAGGCTCCGTCGGCTGGGCGTCCTTGGGGTGAGCCGCGCCGTCTGGTTGTAGTGTTGACCGCGGTAACCCCCCTACCTCATCCGGGTTCTGACCTCGGAGGGGATCGGACGTCGGGTGTAAGAGTGCAGGGGAGTCGTTTAGTAGTGGGTGGGCCCTAAAATCCTTGGGCCCGCGGTCTGCTCACAACACCATGCAGATCGTTGAGCTCACATACCCCGCGCGCCCCTTTTGCGCGTGGACCTCGCAGGAGGTTCGGCCCCAGGCCCGGAAAAAATAAATAAAAGGTAAGTAGTTACGAAAACTGTTAGTTAGGCTGTGGCCGTTTGGTTTACACAATTTGCAATTACATATTAAGTATTATCTTACTACATTTATTTAAATAAGATCTTATTAATTATACAATATAAAAAAAAATACGACATAAGATTTCCGCTGATGGCGGTGTCTAAGACACAAGCCACCAGTGGTTAGGACTTCAGAGTGAGAAACCTCTTCACAATAGGCGCCGTATCGAGGATTATTATTATTGTTTAGCTATCATTGATGATGGAGATCAGCTGCTCCAAGCTGCGACCACCTTTAACCTGGCAGTGGCGAATACGTGGTTCCAGAAACGGCCTGAACACCTTATCACCTATAAGAGTGGTAACCACGCGACACAGATCGACTATTTTCTGATTAAGAGAAGTAAGTTGGTCTGTCTCAAAAACTGCAAAGTACTGCCGAGCATTGGTGACGCAGCATAGACTATTACTAATGGACCTTACGATTAGTTACAAGTACCTTAGGAGGAAAAACTGTCTCTCGCCAAAAATTAGATAGCGTATGCTAGAGTCAGATGAGTATGCTGGTCGATTTAGGGAAATAATGATAGAAAACATCTTTGAAATGAAGGATATGAAAGAGAAATCTGCGAATGATTGTTGGGATGAAATGGCAAATAGTGTCAGGAAGACAACTAAGGCTGTGTTCGGCGAATCAAAAGGGAAAGGTATAATTGACAAGGATACATGGTGGTGGAATGAGAATGTACAGAGAGAGTTGAAAGAAAAGAAGAATGCATTCAAAAAGTGGCAACTAGAAAGAGGAAATGAAAGTGAGAAGCAAGCTAGGAAGAATGAGTTTAGAGAATGTAAGAAAAAGGCCACTAAAGCGGTTGCTATAGCCAGGTCTGACGGTTGTATGCCGCTTTAGATGGACCTGGTGGACAAAAGGAACTTTACCGTATTACAAGAGCTAGAGAAGAAAGAGCGAAAGATATTAAGCATGTCAGATGTATGAAAAATGAGACAGGTAAAGTTCTAATGAAAGATGACGAAATAAAAGAGCGCTGGAAGATATATTTTGAAAAATTAATGAATGAGGAGAACGACTGGAATAGAGTGATTAATAGGAAGCCAGAGAACGTCGGACTTGTGAATGAGATTAGTATGTACGAAGTTAGAGAAGCAGTGAGAAGTATGAAAAGCGGAAAGTCGGAAGGACCAGACGGTATACCAGTGGAAGTATGGAAGATACTGGGAGAAGACGGATATAAGTGGCTGACTTTATTCTTCAATAAGCTGCTACAAGAAGAAGTGATCCCTACGGAATGGAGCACCAGTACGCTGGTGCCCATATACAAAAATAAAGGGGATGTTCAAGACTGTGGCAGCTATCGGGGAATAAAGCTTATGTCTCATAGTATGAAAGTTTTGGAGAAAGTGATAGAAAAGCGATTGCGAGATGAAAGTGAGATCACCCAAAACCAGTTTGGGTTCATGCCTGGTCGCGGGACAACGGACGCCATATTTGCACTCCGCCAAGTGTGGGAAAATATCGCGACGTGCACAGGAATCTGCATATGGTGTTCGTTGATCTGGAAAAAGCGGACGACCGAGTACCTAGAGCAGTTTTGTGGTGGGCATTGAATGAGAAAGGTATACCTGGTAAGTATGTTAGGTTAATCTGTACCATGTACAGTCGAGCCAGGATGTATGTACGAACCGCCGCGGGGAATTCCGACGAGTTCAATGTGGCAGTGAGCTTACACCAAGGGTTTGCACTAAGTCCCTATCTCAACCTGCTTGTGATGGATGCCTTGACATCGGAGATACAGGAAGAGCCCCCTTGGTGTTTGCCGATGACATAGTGCTCATCGGAGAAAACGGGCTCGAGGTCCAAAACATACTGGAGAAATGGCGATGAAAGTTGGAGAGTGTTGGCCTAAAAATCAGCAGATCGAAAACCGAACACCTGTTCTATGATTTTGGCGGTCTCTCCAATTTTACACCCATTTCCCTCGACAGAACACCTTTGCCAGTATGTCAAGACTTCCGATACCTAGGGTCTGTTATCCAAAGCGACGGTGAACTGGATCGTCCTGTGAGGCACAGAATTGACGCAGGATGGATGAAATGGCGGCAGGTCACAGGCACCATATGTGACTCACACATTCCTCTTCCCCTAAAAGGGAAGATATATAAGACCTTAATAAGGCCTGCCGTCTTGTATGGATCAGCTTGTTGAACAACAAAAGTGGCGGATGAAAGGCGGTTGCATGCAGCAGAGATGCGAATGTTGCGATGGATGTGTGGAGTAACGAGAATGGATAGAATACGGAATGAATATGTTAGAGGAAGTCTGAAAGTGGCACCTGTGACAAAGAAGCTGAGGAGTGCGCGTTTGGGATGGTATGGACATGTGATGAGACGATATGAAAATGAGGTTGGTAAGAGAGTGTTAACTATGAATGTGGAAGGATATATAGGAAAAGGTAGACCTAAGAAGAAATGGATAGATTGTGTGAAAGACGATATGGGTAAGAGGGGAGTGAGCGAATAAATGGTATATGATAGAAGAGTATGGAAGGAGAAAACATGTTGCGCCGACCCCATGTGACTGGGAGAAGGGCAGGATAATGATAATGATGAGCTATCATTAATTCCTTACAATGTTTTGCTTTAACTGTTAGTTTCCAAGAAACTAAATGTACTCAATTAATAATTCACTTCGGAATCATCTAGGTTGCATTTTTAAAAAAATTATCAAATCATACCTAATTTCAAATAAAGTATGTGATAAAGATAATTCTCACTGCAGGAAACTAAATAAGTACCTAATTTAAATGTAATAATACCTACATTCGGTTTGGCTGATTATCAAATCGCTTTTATTTGTTTTTAAATAGGTCTCAACTGTTATAGCAAGCATGACGGATCGAAGAGTATTATTACACGCTACGAATGCACGCATGCAGTTTGAATGTTAAAATATATCAAAGCGTTGTGATGTGCAGTATTCTTTTTATTGTGCTAATCATGTTTCTTATCACACTTATAATTAGTATCACATTCGTGTACGTTGCCGAAATTAAAGGTTTTAGTAATGATTGGCCCTATTCTCGCGCAAAAGGAACTGCAATTTATTATGTGCCAATAGTGCTACCAAAAACCAAGGGGCACACCCTGTGCTATATGTCTAATAAAAGTCCATTTATGTACGACAATTACATTTCGCCTCGCATCAATGACAAAATTGGAACCGGAGTGATTTTTCGTTCAAACATTGAAGATGTCCGATTAAAAAATACGAACGAACGTCGACCGTTGTTCGATTTGTTAAATTTCAATCCACAAATTGATATTATAGTTCAAAATAATTCAAATTCGCCAAATGAAATATCGCCATTTTTTAATACATTATTACCTCATAAATTAACATCACCATTAGTTGTACATAAAAACACAAATACAGTTTCCCCAATAGCGAAGGCAACGATTGCAGTATCCAAAATGTCATCCAGTTTAATTCCAGTCGATTTTTGGAGGTCTCTTGACTTATTCGAACGAAAATTCTATGCGGTTAGTATTTACTGATCAGTTAGTATCTACTGTCATATTCATTATGTTCGATTTATACTATTATAAGGATATTTAAAGATAATCGCATTAATTTTAGTCAACTTAAATGCAACGTAGTGTTGATATCCACTCTCTTACTAATCACAAAATACATTATACATGAACACAGCATCTAATAGGTAATCATTTCTAATATTTTTTTAGCTTACCTTGTACTTACTAAATTGGTTCCTTAACTTTATTTCTATTCTTTATCGTAATTCATTAATTTTTTTAAATACTCAATATAAATAATAAAATCCTTAGGTATTGAATCCAAGTCTATATCACAGATTAATAAATAGTTATGTCTATATGTAAATAGATAATATTTAATCGAATGATGTCTAACCAATTTTTAAATAATAAATTAATCAGACTACTATTAGTGCGGTAACGCTGATATAGGCTCTCCAGGCTATCAGCATAGGTAGGAAAAAAAGTACCGGCAAAATAGAAGGCCTAGAGGCAACGGAGAGAAGCTCAAAGCGGTGGTCTGACCAGGTTACTCAGCAGCTAGAAACGCCGGTCAACGAAGTCCACCAGGCACAATATAGGCATAGGTGAAGAGAAATAGTGAACAGATTACAGAAGAGTCACGATTCTCAACTATGGACGACTGAGCAGAAGACTATTGTTAATGGATTGAAATAAAGATGTTTACGATATCTGATAAAAGACTAGCTTCAAGTTGAAATATCATGTTATGTTAAACGAAATAGGGAAATGCGATTTTATTATTAATACGCAGGTAAAGAAGGGAAGACAAGGACACAGCCATTCCCCTACCTATTGCAAAAGACTTTTTCAAACCACGTCCCAATAAAACTTTTTATCACAAGGAGTTTATGCACTCAGATTTAACTTTTTACGCTTGCATCTCTGGAAAACAACAGAGATGAAATAAATTATCTTTGTCTTAAAAAAAACCCTTACATTATTTTATCATTAGCTCACTTTACAGGCGACGTTCGCTAAAATGAAGACTGCGGAAAACCGGAAAGAGAATGGAATAAGTTTTGTTCAATCTGCATTATTTCTACAAATTCTTTTAGTAGCTCTCTCCACAGATTCGAAAAATCGAAAAGAAATTGAAGACTGTTTAAAACTCAAAATACCTGAAGAGGTAAGTAAGAAGTTTAGGATTTTTTAGTTAACGTTTTATTGTGAAAGGTGCTGTCTGTGTATTTGTTGTTTCGTAATTTGTTTTCGCATGTAGCCGATGACTTTATCTTATTAATTTGAATTTTAACAGGCTGAAAAAATGATATGGCCGATGATACGCGAATAGTTCATAAACTGGTGTTAGCGATAGTCATAAAGGAACGTGGTTAGATATCAGTAATGTAATAATAATAAATACTAAATAATATTAAATACCAAAGCTTAAAATGAACGCATCAGTATTTGATACTGAATGGATGTACCTACGTCTCAAGAATAATGTGATCCGAACCCTATGATTATTTTTTATCATTTTCTAAGTTTAAATTTTATTTTATTCAAATTATACCTTGCTTATTGGTTGCTGGCTTATTGTGTATGGACAATTATATTCTCTATCTCTTCTATTACCAGATTATACCCGAAAGTAAGATTACATACATAAGGTAATCAGATAATACTCATCATCATCATTATCCTGCCCTTCTCCCAGTCGCCTGGGGTCGGCGCAACATGTAATCAGATAATACTAATACTTAAAATAAAATTATTTTTCATAGGAAAAAAATGATATAATCAAACGCACATTATCATTATTCCCACGTTCTGATAATGCTTTAAAGTTTCACTGGTCTTATCGTCTGGCTCTCCGTCCTGGATTCTTGCTCAATGATGAATTTCGTACTGGTGCAGCAGCAGCACTGCATTTACATGAACATAGATTTAATGGAACAGAAACACCAGAGGATATTGCAAATATCCTAAATAATATGGTAAGCCAAATACGAATAATCTGTGTTGACTCAATTATCTGTCATCTTAGTGTCTGGCTGTCTGGCCACAGTTTGGGAAAATACGTTTGATGGCTATTTATAGCAAACGTGCTATGGCCTGATCATAAGTAGTTAATATCCATGCCTAACTCTAGGATCTCATAAACATCATAATGCAAATGTAATCAATCACATTGAATGGAGATCTCAATTGTACTGCATAATAGCTGCTCCCTTCACCCGTGAAATCAGCTTTGCGGCCGAAATAGACAACCCATGTGTTCTCAGTACAACTCATCCGTACCCATCCGTACTCAAAGAACGCTGCAGTCCATCCCCCGGTGAAACTATTAGTCTCCTCTCGAGGATACCCACGAGAAGAGATGGAGACAACGTAGGCTAACACTGCATATTGAAAAATTATCTTTAATCAACAGGTGGAAATTGACTCGGGAGGGGCCATACACAACACATTTACTAAAGACGATATCACAGAAGAAAGTAATGCGATATTTTTAACAACTGTTTACATTCGCGGTCGATGGCGTTCCGCCCCTACCGTTCTTAACGGTACTTTGCCGTTTATGGATGTTGAAAACACCCCCCAACGAAACGTTCGGTGCATCAGGATAAATGATAATATGCGTTATGCTGATCTAAGCGAATGGGACGCAGAGGTTGGTTCACCGGCTTTATTAGTCACAGCTAAAATCAAACAAACAAATATGTTTATGATAAGATATATAATTATGATGTATAAAGATGATTTAAGATACTTTTTTTATGAAGCTTAATAACGATGTAATGTTAAATGAAGATAATACAATTAAAAAAAAATACCTCGTAACATAATTAATCATAGGGGATATATACACAAATCAATATAAAATAAATTAGAAAAGCAATACAAAATAGAACGCTATTTAAAATGTTAGCAAACTGGATCCAATCGGAGCCAGAGGATCTCGAACGTTCTTCAGTAACATCTTCAGTGAGCACTTTTTCTTCGGCGCTGTTGCTTGGATCAAATTCCGTAAAAACAACATATTTTCCGGGACTATTCGACACTAAACGGTTCATCGAAATTATCCAAGTAGGTGGAGGCAATTTCCTTTCTCTTAAATACATAAGCACCAATGTCTCTATAATTCCAACAAGCGTTACGATCATTGAGTCACGAAGGAATAACAATATTATCGGGGTATCTGAACTGTGCTTTGGAATATCATAGCCTATTTCGGTTAAAAATATGAAATGTCCAAAAAGACTAAAACATACCAGAAAGAGCCTCGTTGAGTCTTTAACATCAAGTAAGAATGAAGTTAAGGTGAGTATGACTATGACTATGGAGGGAACAACGACGATCGCAGCCGGTCCTGCGGCAGCTCTCTTCAACACAAATCTGTACTTTAACATTGGATACGTACTATTAGGACAACAGGTGTAAGTTTCAGACAAACGCTCGTTAACCACCTTCAGAAGCTTCCAGCCTGGGCCGTCGTGAAAATCAGTCAGCACCACCGGGTCATTTTTGTAGAATGTGAAGTTCACTTGCTCTCCTGTGTGCATCCAAGATCCAAAATAAAGAGTACAGTTCTGGGTGTCGTAAGGCCAGCGACGCAGCGACGTACTACAAATTCCTGTATGTCCCAAATGAGGGACGCATGTCACTGTACCATCACTGGATAGTAGACAAGTGGTATAAAATTGGTCTGATTGAAACATAGCTGTATTAGCATCGGCGTTAAACAATGACATGCTCGGAGTCCAAATAAGATGACTTTCAATTTGGATCTCTTTTATGTTACCGTAATCTGACGGAGTCCACGTAAGGAATTCATCTTTCCATCTCAAAGCCACCCAGCTGTGAAGAGTGAACGTTTCTTCTAGCGAATCAAAGCTAAGGTATTTCATAGCAAACCGAACTTTTACGGTTACACTAGTTTTGTGATCTTTCACTGGTCGAAAATCTACATTGTAAGCACATAATAAATCCTGGTGCAATCTTGCTTCATCGTGGAATGGTTGTTCACGTTCAGTCGGACACTCGTTGCAATTTACATTAAATATTATTGTCAAAATTATCAAAAGCCCTACGTACAGTTTCATGTTTGCGACCACAATAATGTCGGCTCTTAAACAGATTTAACTCCAAACAATAGAAATCGGATATGCACAGCCGCCCCCCAACGATAATAGGTTCATGTTGATATTTTATGAACGTATTGTGTAATAACAGAAATCTGTATAATTAATATAATTAAAAAATCCATATTGTAGGCATATTGTAGGTATCCATAGGCTCCAGTATAAAGTTTCCCCTTTATCTTCTAATGACATCAAATTGAATATTTGTGGCATCATTTGTTCGGTTTCTGTGCGTTTGTATTTCGTGCAGTATTGAATTGAGAGGAAGATTTTGTACAGTTGTTTTTGGCACTATTCCAAAAATAGTTTTTATCGTGGTATATCATCAACATTTCAAAATTACGGGTGCAATAGAGTTTTTAATGCTAAATTGTAATAATCCTATCATCTAAATAACCAGTTAGCGAGACAACATCGAACACAATATGCCGCGCTGTAAACAAAAACAAATGTTTTTAACGGAATAAATGTTACAACCATGGAAAAACTGTGCAAAATAAATAATTCGCAAATGGTAAATAAAAGTAACAAGTAGATAGATAGATTACTTGGTCAACAGTGTAAACTTTTCTTATTAAGTGCGAATTACGTTTGCCCGAAATGTAGCTACATCGAGAAGTGTAGCTACATACATATGTACACATATCAGTCATTTTTTATCATAGGCTTACACCAGGGATCTAAATTACATTCCCATGTAAGATATTATTCATTTTCTTGGGAGCTAATGAACTACAGGTCTGTCAGTCGTATCTATTTCGGGCTAGAGGGCTTTATAGGCTCTAAATTTCGACTCGGGGGATCGATTGGCTTGTTTAAGAATAATGAGTGAAATAAATTAAACGATAATATCCTAATTGTGAATCTATATATTAATACGTGAAGCAAAAACTTTGTATCCCTTTTTACGAAAATTGCGCGGACGGAGGAGTATGAAATTTTCCACACTTATAGAGAATATAGAGAAGAAGTGCACAATGCTCATTTTTTTTATAAATAATGCATAAAAGATACTTTAAATCAATAAAGAAAACATTACACACACTACATACCATGTATTTGACGCACACACGCATGCATACTATTTATTGTCAAACTTTTGTTCTTGACGTCTGTTGTCAAATTGAGATTAAATATTGTTTGTCTTTGTTAATATTTGTTATAGTGTAGTCTTGGCGAAATTTGTGATTATAGAAGTATAAAATACAATCATAATAGTGTACAAACTTACAATTCCAATTAATTATAGTCGAATTTCGACTACTGCGGGACCTCTAGTATTCATAAAATTTCACACATAGGTATGTATGTATATTGATTCACTCTTCGAAATTTCATGATGATGTAAAGTATTCTTTATTGTAAATAAAAATACTACTAAGTTTTAAAATCTCTCCCACAAAAATCCTAGTGCTGAAATAATGTATTTCACCGTCATCAGTTTAGTTATTGTTATGAATTGTTTTTGTTCTATGAACTTGTTATTATTTTTATGAATTAAATTTTATTGATCTTCAACTCGTTTTATGGCTCAAGATAAGCTCTGTCTGCCTGGTAACATTTTTTGGTTACTTATATACCGTACTCATTTCGTGTTGCGCTTAAAACACGATTTAATTGCGCTTAAAACAGCTTATTGTTTCAGGCTATTGAAATATTCTATGCTACTCAAGGTCTTAGTTTATTTATTATCGTACCACGAGGAAGGTCCCTGCGCCTTCTTGCCGATCGTGTAGCAATGACCAGCATTCATTTGATTTCGGAACGGATGCAAACAATGCGTATTGCAGCAACATTGCCTTTGTACACGCTTCGCATGACTTTACTCTTACCAGACAAGTTGCGGGCGGTAAGTTCTTTATTTTTATATTAATTAGTATAGTTGAAAATATTAATACAGTATAGAACTCACCTTACGATTTGAGGTGTATGTCACAAACTTATATTGTATAGTACCTAATTATGAAAATTATCATTGTCGCCAGTTTGCTTTTAATTATACGATGTTTATATTTCATTGTAAAAGTAATTCGTAAACATGAATCAGATACGTATTTTATTAGAAATTTTCGAAACCTGCGTGTAGGGTTCGAACGCCGGAATAATAAAAGCAATTAGGTAAACCATTTACTGGTGGTAGGACCTCTTGTGAGTCCGCACGGGTAGGTACCACCGCCCCGTCTCTTTCTGCCGTGAAGCAGTAATGCGTTTCGGTTTGAAGGGTGAGGCAGCCGTTGTAACTATACTGAGACCTTAGAACTTATATCTCAAGGTGTCTGGCGCATTTACGTTGTAGATGTCTATGGGCTCCAGTAACCACTTAACACCAGGTGGGCTGTGAGCTTGTCCACCCATCTAGCAATTAAAAAAAAACCATGTTTTTTGATCATATTGTATCAGTACCTTTTTTTTTAATATACCATTTCACACCCTGGGATTTTTCGTCTATGGCTCTGGACATTTGTAAATACGCTAAAAAAGAAACTTGCTATGTTTTCTAGTTGGGGATGCCTCGACTCGCGCAAGTAAATACTGCTGAAAGTGATTTAACGTTGTCCCACGGTGTACAGCGACTTATGTTCTGGGCGGAAGCTGGTCGCAACGCCTACAAAGACGATGGTAATACGTATTCAATGTTTTCGTAAAAATAATGATTCGCCATTTTACTATTATAATTCTGTCTCGACTGACAATCAGACGTTTGAGTATCGAATATGTTTACGAAGATGCTTTAATTAGGGTTCGGGAAAAAAGGCGGAACCGGAAAAAAACCCTAAGAGATTGTCGGTCTTTAGAAGGTACCATAGGCCATGGACACTGTATGGAGAACGCAGTTGCTCTCCTTGAAAGAGGTTGATGTATTATTTATACTATCATAGCCCTGAAGTTGGAGTCCATGATTTTAAAGGTATAGCGAGTTTCCCGTGCGGAACCCTAACCCTGTTATGAGTTCTTAAGTACTTATATACTTAGTCTGGCCATAAATACTGTTACAATTAAAAATAAACAAAATATTACATTTGAATTTGGAATCTGTCATTTTTATATGATTGCTCATTGAGTTTTCTCATTTTGGCGCCAATACAATGTACAATATGCGATATTAAAATGGAGTGGGGTGATAAAGAGAACCGAATCGCTGTGATTGCATTACACAAAGTAGGTATGGGGCCAAATGCAATTTTTAAAACTCTCAATACGCTTGGTATTAGTAAAATGTTTGTGTATCGAGCTATTGATAGGTGCAATGAGACCTATAGTTTGTGATAGAAAAAGATCTGGCCCTCCACGTAGTGTTCGTACGATAAAGGTGGTCAAAGCAGTAAGGGAAAGAATTCGAAGAAATCCTGTCCGAAAGCAAAAGATTTTATCTCGGGAGATGAAGATAGCACCTAGAACCAGGTCGCGTATTTTAAAAGATGACTTAGGACTTGCAGCCTATAAGAGACGTACTGGTCATTTCTTAACTGATAATTTAAAAGAGAATAGGGTGGTAAAATCGAAACAACTACTGAAGCGGTACGCAAAGGGAGGTCATAGAAAAATTTTGTTTACGGATAAGAAATTTGTTACAATTGAGCTACATTTTAACAAACAAAATGACCGTATTTATGCTTAAAGCTCTAAGGAAGCTTCCCAATTAATCGACAGAGTGCAACGTGGGCACTATCCGACTTCAGTGATGGTTTGGTCGGGTATTAGCTGTGAAGGAGTGACTGGGCCATACTTTTGTGAAAAAGGTATCAAAACATCGGCCCAAGTGTATCAAGATACCATTCTTGAGAAGGTAATGAAGCCCCTTAACAACACCATGTTCAATAATCAAGAATGGTCCTTCCAGCAAGACTCGGCGCCAGGTCATAAAGCTCGGTCTACGCAGTCTTAGTTGGAAACGAACGTTTCGGACTTCATCAGAGCTGAAGACTGGCCGTCGTCTAGTCCCGATTTTAATCCGCTGGATTATGATTTATGGTCAGTGTTAGAGAGTACGGCTTGCTCTAAACGCCATGATAATTTGGAGTCCCTAAAACAATCCGTACGATTGGCAGTGAACAATTTTCCCATGGAAAGAGTGCGTGCTTCTATTGATAACTGGCCTCTACGTTTAAAGGACTGTATTGCAGCCAATGGAGACCACTTCGAATAAGCTTTTTACACTTTAAATTGTTTTATATTTATGTATTAAATTAACACACTGTAAAAGTAATAAATGTTATTTACAATAGATTTTTTTTTGTATTCCTTGGTTTTTTTTTTTATTTCTTTCGATAGGCAGACGAGCTTACGGCTCATCTGATGGGAAATGATAACCGTCGCCCATAGACATCCAAACTACATCAGTGACTCAGATGCGCTGCCTATCCTAATCAGATGCGCTGCCTATCCTAACATTACACATAACAGTATTTATGGCCAGACTAAGTATTACTAATTAGTTAATAATAATGAAAGTAGCTAAAAGCATTCCAAATGTATATGCAGTTTATCACCAATATTCGATCTGCTGTAAGCTGGTTTGTCTATGGCATTGACGTTCTCAATGGAGCAGCTCATTGTCTTCCCAGGAGGCCTGATCAAAGTTCAATCTGCTGATGATAACGCTTGGTAGAAAAGTACACAAATGTACGAGATTTACATAAAATAAAGAAAGGTCACGTGATCTAATAGTAGAATGCACTTTGGTTAGGCACACTGAATCTCTTCTTTCCGCTGAGATACTGAATTACTATTATACAGATTTAGTAACACACAGCGGGTCCCCTTGCGGGGGCGCGGAGCGGGCCTCGGGGAAACCCCTCTGCCCGGGCTGAATCTCCCCGCCTATTGAGGCAGGGGTGATGCACTGCGGGTTTGTAGTTGGCAGGCCTGCTTTTTTGAATTTGGTGGGATCGCTTCATTCTTCTTTCTTCCACCTTCATCCTTTCTTTCATCTTCTTCTTCTTCTCTTCTTTTCTTTCTTCCATCTTCGGGGCGGCTGCTTCACTCCTCCTTTTTTTATATGTATGTATATAATAAATTTTTTTGGAGGAGAGCATCCAAGTCAGCACAGCCTTAGTTCACACGTCCGTCACTCACACTGGTACCCCGGGAAGTCGATCTCGGTGCGACTCAGATTTAGTAAAATAAAATATGCGGTTTATATTCATTTCTGGCAAGTTATTTCTGTATCTTATTATCGTGATAACAGGTATCGAATGGGATGAAACTCCGGAGCTGGAACTCGTCTTAAATAGGCCGTACATATTCTTTGTTAGATGGCACAATATAACATTGATGAACGGTCATTTTGTCTTGTAAATCATCACTGAAAATAGTTATATGTACTTAGTTCGTAGAAATGTTTAATTTGTATCATTGTAGTCCATGCAATTTGTGAAGTAGCATCGATAATATAGTACTGTTATTTTTAATCAAGTTTGTTTGTTTTACAGTTTTATGAAGCTATTGTTATAACCAGATCGCTCGTAAGCCTATCTGCTCTTTGGAAGCTTAAAAATTCCACCTGGTGTTAAGTGGTTACTGTGACAACAAGTTGTCACAAACTTCAACAGAGTTGTCAAACGTACTTTTTTCCAGGGCATTATCAGTTTTGGTATGTCCTGGATAAATTTTAATTGGCGATTGAAGAATTTGTAGGGACACAGTTTGTTATGTAAACAAAATTGTTCGTAGTCATAACATGTGGCTGCGCCCCCAAGCTGTGTTGCTTTTTACTTTTTAAGTTCAGTCGCGAATAAACGCTCCGATTAACCAGTTGTGTTATTTAATTATCTCACTTCCGACAACGCCCTGAACCATTATTGACCACTACTAAAATAACTCCTAAAGTGGTGACCCCGTGAGTGAACACATTGAATTTTTTTAACTAAGCTTTTCATAAAATGAACCCTCAAACGCCATGTGATGGTGACGCGAGAGCAGAGACCAGAGACGATGGCAGTGAGAGAATACTGGAAAGCATCAGCGTTTCGTCACGGATACCGGAGTTCTGGGCACACCAAACGCGACTCTGGTTTGTTTAGTTCGAGGCTGCCGTAGAAAGTCAACGGCTGTCAGATACGGCCAAGCAAAATCTGGTGGTTACGAAGCTCTCTAAAAGCGCTATCGAACAAGTAAGTGATTTATTACTTGCGCCTCCGGAAACGAAGAAACATGAAACCTTGAAGGAGAGGTTACTTCGAGTGTTTGAAAAGTCGGACACTAGGAAACTCCAAAAGCTTATTGGAGAGGTGGAACTGGGAGATCAGCGACCGTCACAACTGCGGCGGATGATGCGTGGTTTGGCGAGAGGAAAAATACTCGATGACACGTTGAAGCTCAAATTCAAATTCAAATTCAAAATCATTTATTTCAAATTAGATGTCAGTATAACACACTTGTTGAATGTCAAAATATAAATAACCATGTTAACTCTACCACCGGTTCCAAAAAAAGCCACAGTCCTGAGAAGAACCGGCGAAACAAACTCAGCGGGCTTTTTTTTGGTTTTTCTCAAATATTTTCTTTTTTTTTAAATAAGTAACAATATTTGCAATAAACGAAAAAACAAGTCAAAAAATACAATTACAAAATAATAATAATAATGAAAAATTAAATGGCCAGGAGCGAACGCCTCATTCCCATGTAGTGCCATCTAGTAGATAATCCTTAACTTTGACAGTTTTCTTAAATCTATGAACAGGTAGTAATTGAACGTTTTGTGGGATCTTGTTGAAAAGTTGTACACCCAACCCAGCAAAAGAGTTGCTTATTTTCTTAATTCGAGCCGCCGGCAAGGCAAGCCTATGTTTGTTCCTAGTGTTCACATTATGCAAATCGCCGACTCTGGGGAATTTTTCAATGTTTTTACGCACGTACAATAAATTTTCAAAAATGTATTGGGACGCTAGTTAGAATTTTGATTTCCTTAAACTTGTCCCTCAAGGATATTTTTATAAATAGCACGAATAACCCTCTTCTGCAGGATGAAAATCGTTTCGACATCGGCAGCATTACCCCATAGCAAAATGCCATAGGACTATGAAAATACTATGAAAATCATTAGTATACGTTCGTATTTTTTTTACCGCAAACGCTGCAGAACTAAGTCTACTCGCTAACTTGCATATATGAGGACCCCACTGCAGCTTGGAATCAATTGTTATACCAAGAAAAACTGTCGAATCTACAAGCTCCAGTGTCTCTCCACTTACCTACAGTAATATCAGATTATTAACACTAAACCAATGTGCCATACGCGAGATAGCATCATTCACATCGTCATAATCTTCCAATTGTCGTTTAATTTGAACAATAAGGATGTATCGTCAGCGAATAATACGACCTCGTGACGGGTTTCAATAAACTTTGGTAAATCATTGATATACACAAGAAATAGGAAGGCACCCAATATGGAAAACTGAGGAACACCCATATTAAGTAAGACACCGGAAGATCTCTTTCCTTTAACGTCTACCTTTTGGATTCTTCGGGATAAATAAGATTTAATAAGTTCTAATGAAACTAATACCATAATGGTGTAATTTCCTCAACAATGTATTATGCTCAACACAATCAAAAGCTTTAGATAAGTCGCAGAATATCCCAAGGGCATTATGCGATTCCTCCCAATCCTGAAAAATATTTTTAATAAGATCTACACCTGCATCAATAGTTGAACGACCTCTAGTGAATCCATATTGTTTGTTATGAAGCAATTTATTGGAATTGAAATGGTTCAAAAGTTGTTACAAAATAATTTTTTTCAAAAATTTTACTCATTGTAGGTTGTACTGAAATGGGCCTAAAGTTAGAGGGGTCAAAAGTGCTACCAGATTTAAACAAAGGTATTATTTTACTATATTTCATTAGATCAGGATACACACCACAATCAATACAGTCATTAAATATTGTAGCAAGGTACGATTATATCAATAA